GATAAGGGTCGACAAAAATTTCAAGAATTACGAGACAATTTGACCATACAATTTCAATTACAAGAACGCAATAATATTATGCTAAATTCATTTATTATCACCTATACATTATGTGAACCATTTGTTCTCAAAGCTAAAACATTGAAAGAATTTGTCGGTCGCGTTGTCCATTTAGTCAATTTCGATACAAATTCACTTCAGCACATGAAAGGTAAAATTGTTTCTAGTACTTCATACACCAGATAGCTGTGGAAGACATCTATACCCTCATCTGTCCTTAGGATTTATAAGAAAATATCTTTACTTATTTTGTAGTTGTAAATGGTAATGCGCAAATCATTCGTATGTGGTTATCGACAGAAGAAGCAACAGTTGTTGATAATGCTCTTGTTGTAATGACACATTTATATAAGACAGGTGAAGTTACTATCCGTCTACGACATCTATTGCATGAAGAATCTTCCCTTGAAATCAACTATTTAATCGATAAAATTCAACCTAAAACACTCGATGTCAAGATTACTAATGAAGTAACAAATGACAAGAGTGACGAAAAACAAAAAAACGATGACAGTAGTGACGCCGAAGAAGAATCAAAACCTGACAAAATGAAAACCACTGTATCCATGTTCGATTTCGATATTGATGATCATAAACGTCAATTAACATTTTGCAATGTGGATTTACCAGCAAATATGCCTCACACAAAAATTCTGTTAGAAGAACAATTGAAATTATTAAAACTTATTGGAAATATCTATTCAACTTTCATTAAATTAGAAATAAGCGGTCATCCAAACTATCAACTAAAAAACAAACGTTACAAAATTTACAATCCGAGAAGTAAGAAAACTTAAAACTCTCTTCTTAGTCATTCTGCACTAACTTTCTACTTTAATTAGATCCTATCAATACAGTATTCTTTACACCGAGAGAAAATCAAGATGTAGACCAAGTAGAACTACAAAATGTAGTTCAGTCTCGAACAACATACTTCACTAATATTTGGATTAGACTTGAACGAGAATACGATGATTGGATTGATAGATTAGAAAATTCGAGAAATAAAAGTCATT